ATATTCAACTATAGTCATATTCGGCGTAGTAAACTTGTCGTGAAAAAAAGTCAATTTTTCGTTTAAAAGAATTTAAGAAAATATTAATAAAATATGAAAAATAAAAAATAATTAAAGAAGATTTGGGGTTTTTTTCCAAAAGAGTTAATTGCCATGCCATGCATGAATGCATAAAATTAAGAAACTACGTACCAAATATAATTCACGTAGAATTATTGTAGTTGTTGGAAATAGAATTTATGCCGAAAAGGAAACAAAAAATCAAAAGCAAAATCTACTACTCAAGTTAATGGTTCTCATTCCAAAAATATGGTCATGCTGCCTAATATACAAAATAATACCTAAAAACAGATAATCAAAATTGGTCTATATATATATACTGAATTACTATCATCAAATATCAAATTAAATACGTACTCGAAAAAAAGTAGAAAAGATCGAAAAGAAAATGAGGAGAAAAGATCGAAGAGATGGCGGGAGAGGGAGATGAAGAAGTTGGTTGGGAGCGTCCACAGATGGTTGCCGAAGCACAAGTTGGAGGACGAGCCATCTTCTTACTTAATTTGCTGCAGGTAATTACTTATAAAAAAAAAATAAAAAAAATTCCATCAATATATATTTATATTCAATAATTTTGTAAAAAAAGTTTATTTATTATTTATATGAATCAGGTGATTGCGGCATGTGTGACAATTGGTGTGGAGATCTTTCTGGTAATGGGAGTAGGTGGGCCGAAGCATCGAACGAGTTTGTTGTGGGTGGCGCCGTTTACATCAATTATATCGGTGTGTTTGGTTTTGTGTCGTTATCGAGTTGACAATAACCCGATGCTGACGTGGTTTGGTTATGCTATGACGGTTGGCTTCTCTATGCTGCACATAGGAAGCAGCACGTTCCACTTGCTGAAGGCGCTCAACGGTTGGAAATTGAAATTTTTTCTAATTAACTATCCGCTTATTTACGCCGTATGCGTCTTGGTTTCTATTATTATCAACCTTTCATGTTTGGTAGAAGGCGGCTAGGATTAACTCGACGATCGGCCATCTTTTGTTATGCGTGCTGCCGTTATTGTTTGTTTTCACTTTTCAATTTCGTTTATGTTTTTTCTCTTGGTTGAATTTTAGTTTTATTTTTCTCTTGATTGAATTTTAGTCTTATTTTTCTCTTTATTATATTTAATTTTAGTCTTACATTCCATCTAATTTATTTACGCGTTTCTATTATGAGAAATTAAATAAACTTTTTCCAACCATTATAATTACATCTACACACAATATAAATCGATCAATACGTAGTATAAAATAAATAATATAGACGTGACAAAATAAATCGGATACGTATACAACAAACTATATACAAATTAATAATAACAATTAGTACAAGAATTGCTTGGAAATAATGATATAAAAAAATAAACAAAAATATTGGAGCAGAGTTCAAACAATACTTGGAAGATAAGAGAATGGCACTAAGAATTTTATAAATCTGAGTGCGAAGAATTTCATTTTTTTAATAAAATCCCATAATAATTAATGGATATAATATATATTAACACCATGCATAATTAATTCCAGGAAAAGGGCATACATAATTAATTACCAACAACTATTTTCTTCATTTTAATTTGTGTATATATTGTAAGAGCAAAACTAGTCGAGCTCTGAACAAGCTTCATGGCGGCGGTGGCGGCGCCACTGTCATCCGTGGTGTCGGTGTACCTGATGCACCTTAAGTATGTGTGTGCCGTCGTGAGATTATCGCGACGAAGAAGGTGAGAGAAAGAAGTCGCTACGAGACGTGGACGTTTTCGGGCATTTCACACAGTGAAGGTGCACAAGGGTTGGAAATTTGGGGATGCATGCTTTCACCCCATTTCCACTTGCTTATATATGCTACCTTGCTTTTGTTATGTCTCACTGTTCAACTCTTAATCAACCTGGGCACTTGACCATGCTTAAATTTTAATTTGAACCACTCTTCTAACTAATTTCATATTATTATATTATATTATATTATATTATTCTATCTTTTTTTTTTTTTTAAATATATATATAGTTCTCCTTGTTCGAACTGTGTTGAATCTGGGATTATGTACTGTTTGATTTGGTTTATGATGTTTTTTTTTAATGGGATTTTTGGCTTACATTTCATTTAATTTAGGCGTGACACGTGGTAGATCAACTTTGATTTATGGGGTATAGAAATTAATTAAAAGGATATTTTGGGAAATTAAAATTTTTTTGCTATTGAAATATATAATTCTGAATTCAAAATAAAAAGAAAATGAAATGTATATCATTAGATCTAACAGAATAAATTGAAATGTATGAAAAATTTTATACAAATAATAACAGTAGTGAAGAATTTATGAAATTAATTAGAAATGTATCAAAAATTAAACCAAAAAAAATAATAATAGTTATTACTTATTAGTAATCCCCATTAATTAATTTACAACTACCCTCCGTGGACGACAACACCCACTTGCAGCTTCTTCATCTTCCTCTACTGCCATCTCTCTTTTTCTTTTATTCCGTTTTGTCTGATCGAGTATATGATGACGTTTGATTTACTATTAATGCAATATATATAGATCAAGTTTGTTTTCTAATTACTTTTTTTTAAATCTTACGCATGACAAATATTGGAATGAGAATATATATATATATATATATATATATATATATATATATATATATATATATATATATATATGATTTAATTCGTTTCCTTTTTGGCATGGGTGGGTTTCTAAATCAAGAGAAAAATAAAACTAAAATTCAATCAAGAGAAAAACATAAACCGAAAATAACGGCAGCACGCATAACAACAGATGGCCGATCGTTGAGTTAATAATCCTAACTCATGTCTTCTACCAAATAAGACATGTGGATAATGACAGAAACCAAGATGCATACGGCGTAAATAAGCGGATAGTTGATTAAAAAATTCTTCAATTTCCAACCGTTGAGCGCCTTCAGCAAGTGGAACGTTCTGCTTCCTATGTGCAGCACAGAGAAACCAACCGTCATAGCATAAACAAACCACGTCATCATCGGGTTATTGTCAACACAATATCGACACAAAACCAAACACACCGAGATAATCGATGTGAACGGCGCCACCCACAACAAACTTGTTCGATGCTTCGGCCCACCTACTCCCATTATCAGTGCGATCTCCACACCCATTGTCACACATGCCACAATCACCTGATTCATATAAATAATAAATAATTTTTTTTGTACAAAATTATTGAATATAAATATATATATATATATATATATATATATATATATATATATATATATATATATATATATATATATATATATATATATATATATATATATATATACTAAGTAAGCCGATGGCTCGTCCTCCAACTTGTGCTTCGGCAACCATCTGTGGACGCTCCCAACCAGCTTCTTCATCTCCCTCTCCCGCCATCTCTTCGATCTTTTCTCCTTTTTTTTTTTGATATTTTCTACCTTTTTTCGAGTATGTATTTAATTTGATTGATGATAGTAATTCAATATATATATGTATATATATATATATACAAATTTTGATTATCTATTTTTAGGTATTATTTTGTATCTTAGGCAGCATGACCAATATTTTTGGAATGATAACCATCAACTTAAGTAGTAGATTCTGCTTTTGATTTTTTGTTTCCTTTTTGGCATAGATTCTATTTCCAACAACCACAATTATTCTATGTGAATTATATTTGGTACCTAGTTTCTTAATTTTACGCATGCATGCATGGCATGGCAATTATTTTTTTTGGAAAAAACCCCCAAAAGTTATTTTGTTATACGGAAAGGTACAACACATATTTCACTATTTGATATAAAAGCATATATACTCGCCTTTCCCTTCTTTTATAATTCCAAAATTGTTCTTTCCACTACGCCCATCCCCGTTTTTCATTTTTTCCTTTTTTTTTGTTTAAATTATTTTTTGGCCCATCGAATACTTCTATTGGGCCTCCTAAATCTGGCCCAATAACTACCCTAAATAAATTAGACCAATATTAATTATGGGTAAATTACAAACACCCCCCTGAGGTATGGTGAAATTACAAAAACACCCTTCTTGTTTGAATAATTACAACCACCCCCCTCAACTCATCAAATTTAGTGGAATCTTCGAGATTATATGGAATATTATCACTTTTGTACCCGTTTTATCCCATTCAAACTCTACATTATGAAGCAAGATGATCATAATATGTGATTTTTAGATTGTATATATCAGTTTGTGGTGCATCGGAAACTGTATTTTTTACACAAAAAGAGTACAAACTGGACCACATTTCACGAAATCTAGATGACTATGTTGAATTTGGCACCATAAAGGTGGAGGTCTAAGAAAAAATCATAGTTGAGGGGGTTAGATGTAATTATCCAAACAAGAGGGGGGTTTTTGTAATTTGACCATATCTCAGGGGGTGTTTGTAATTTACCCTATTAATTATTTTTCGTGTCGACAAAACGTCTAGCTAAATAAACTTTCTTGGTAATATTATATATATGATTAGATCTACAGATATCATTATAAATTGATACGTATAAAATACTCTATACAGATAATAACAAGTACTGAAGAATTGCTGAAATTAATAGAAATAATATATATAATGTATATTATATATATATGATTAGATCTACAGATATCATTATAAATTGATACGTATAAAATACACTATACAGATAATAACAAGTACGGAAGAATTGCTGAAATTAATAGAAATAATATATATAATGTATATAAAAAAAAAACAATGGAGCAGAATTTAAACAGTAGCTGCAGAAAGACAATGGCACAACAAAGAATTTCAAAAAACAGCTGAATTAAAATCGAGCGCAAAGCGACAAGTCACCCGATCGATATACCAATAGAAATCAAACTAGATCTATACATTGTGATCATGAAATTGCATTTAGAATATGTACATATATGTATATATATGTATATATGCATATGCAGGCATGTCAATTAAAAGCAAGAAATTAGTCTTTTTCGTCTACGCGCAAAATATGTCGGAACGAGTACCGATATTCACAAAAAAGAAACACGATCGGAGAAAACAGACAACCTAAAGACGAAAATACAACAAAAGAATGTACAGCAAGTTCGAAAAGTCATAATCTGCTATCTCTTTTTCATCAATGTAAATAATATATGGTCTTTCCTCAAAAGTCCTATTTCCTAAATTCATAACAACCTTATTATTATTATTATTTTCGACTTCTATTTCATACTTGAAGTACCTGACAATGCACAATGTGACTCTTCAACCCACTTCTCCCCGCAATACTCGACCACAAATTCGTGAACAAATTCCTAAAATGCCCCTTGATCGCAATATTCTCCCAAATCCCCGAACTGCCCTCCGCCCGTTTATCCGTACCCGAAACATCCACCATACTAATACTCATATTATTCCGGATAATACAGAGCTTCCCGTTAATCGGCACAAGCGCAGCCGCCTCAAGAGCCCGCGAATTTCCGAGATGAATCTTACTATCAATGAACCTACTCCAAGAATCCGTTTTTTCGTCATAAACACGCAATTTACACCCGTCCCTACAATCCAACGCGTAAAGCTTTCCGTTCATAGAAATACTCGGATTTCTCCATCCAGAAACCATCCCATCGTTAATCGGACTCCACAAATTACTCTCCGGTGTATAAGCTTCGCTCAAAACCTCCCTATGTGCACCGAGCCCTTTCAAGAACCACTTCCCGTCATAAACAACTCCGATAAACGGGACCATAGCTGTGCTCATATCAGCTATAAAACTCCACCGGTTTCTATTCGGATCGTAAACTTCGGCCGAGCGAAGTGTTCTCTGTATGCCTTCACATTCTCCACCTGCTACATAGAGACAGTTGTTTATCACGCACGAGCCAAAGAAGTGTCTTTTACGAAGCATATCTGGCGCCCTGTGCCATTTGTTCGTTCGGGCGCTGTAGAAAATCACTCGCCTCATTGACCCTTTAAGGGGGTCTTTGCCCCCGAAAAGGTACAGGTGGCAGCCGCTGAGGACAGCACAGCCGAATCCGAGGGCGGAGCTTGTTGTGGTCGACGCGTGGGACCCGGATGAGGCAGGCGATCGCCAGGTCATCGGGGAGGCCTGGGAGGAGCGGGGGCTGGATTCTTGTTCGCTCGCGGCGGGAGTTTTTGGAACGGTGTGCTCTAGGGTTGATGTCTGGTTGGATGCAGATTTTGGAACCTGGTACGAATTTTCTTGCACCGACCACTGTTTTCAGACCAGAGTCTACCAATACTTGACATTTGTAGAATTTGAATGCAGAAAATAAGCTGAATTAACTATAGTCGACATAAATTATATTTAAAGAGGGGAGAATTGCTTTATACTTTTCGTTCATGAGCATTTCTAGTGTATTTTTCTTCGGTTTATTATCTTCAGATTTAGCATAGCGGTATATATCAAAGGCTCGGGTCCGATACCATACTTTTAGCAGCATACTACGTGTTCGTTTATACGATGGGAGTTAAATCGGATAGCAAAAATGAGTTCCCTAATACACTCTGGATTTAGTAAACGAATCTTGCTCACAAAATTAATCGAACAAGTTTCTTGTGGGTGGCGCCGCCGACAACAATGATCTCGGCGTTTTTGGTGTACATGAAGTACGCGTATCGTCGTGACATCATCATGAAGAAGGCGGTGGAGGAAAGAGCTAATTATGACAAGTGGACGGTAATGGGTGAGTTTGTAACGATTTGCTGTCCTTTGATGCAAATAGCAAGCAACACCTTCGTTTTGATCAAGGCGATCAACGGTTGGAAATTTGGGAATGTTTTTGTCGATCTTTCGCTTTGCTTTGTTGTGTGGCCCTTTCTTTCTGTCACTTGGAACCTCTTCGTCGATGATCTACTCAATCGCTACAAACGAGGAAAATGCAATTCATTAAATTGGTTCGTCTTTCCATCAGTATTAGTCTTAATATTAGTATTTAGGTGTGCCTCACTTAATGGAGTTTTAGATTAAACAAGTGTCAGCTCACCTAGAACACCGACATGAGGTCATAGTGTAACACCTTATTGTTTGATCTCAAATCGTCGTGTGACGTAAGAGTGAAAAGACGTTTTTCTCCTTACTAGGATTTCATTTTGAAAGAATTTATGGTCCCGAATTCGTTTAATACAGAGGTGTTGTCTTAAGTGTTATGACACTTGAACAAACATGCAGCGGAATTCTAAATCAATACTCAGAATTTAAAAATGTTCACAAGTAAAGACTTGTGAACTTGCCCTTTACAGGACGGAAAAAATATATTAAAATCAGTATTCCGAGAATACAAACAGAAGAAGTGCTAAAACTTCTTCCTCACAAATGAATCATTCTCACAATCAAATCTAGATACTAAAAGAAAAATATTAAAAATTCTAGATTCCAAAGAATGTACTCATAAGGAGTACGTACAACAGATCCTAGAAACACACTAAAATTCTCGAAATGAAAACTTCTGCTCTCTTTTTGTTTCTTCGAAATCTGTATTATTCTTGAGTCTTGAGTTTGGTATTTATAGACTTTCCAAGCTTCCACTACTCAGCCCATGATCTGCAAGAAAACCAACCACAAGAGCACTCAAGAAAATGGGTTAGTGGGTTAGTTAGGAGGTTAAAATAAAATCCACAATTAAACCCACTAAGCACTACTTAGCCCGCTAAGTCATAACACTTAGCCCACTAAGTCACAACTAAAATTTAGTTTGAAAGTAAGAGAGTTAAAAACACTTTTGTTTAAAGAACAACGTGTTTCAAACTCCCCCTTTTTAACTTTCTGATTAAAACTAAATTTTAGCTAAAACTCCCCCTGAGTTATTGCTTGAACTCCCCCTGAATTTGATAATAAACAATATATAAAATTCAAAAACAAATTCAGCAAGATAGTTCAACACAAATTAAAAGAAAGGAAATAACCAAATGCAGTCCTAAACAAAAGTTCAGAGAGAAAATAAAAACAGAACAAAATCCAAATATTGTTCATGAAAACAATTAAAGTAGAATATCCAAAGTCTCCTGAGTATCAGCTGTTGCTCCTCCATCACTAGCACTGGATCCACTGCTTTCCTCTGCTCCTTGAGCTTCACCCTCATTCTTTGCTCCTTCTTCATTAACTCCTTGCCCTCTGCCTCTGGCATCCAAAGGGTGAGAAGTTCCTGCTTCAGCTTCATGACCTTTTTCTCCCCCTTTTTGATCAGAAAGAGCCTTTTGGAGCATGTCCACCATGGACTAGTGATAGGTAATCTGAGCTAGAGAGTGAGTAAGCTGTTGTAACAGAAGATCTCTAGGAACAGACACAAGAATGTTAGGAGTGTTGTCAACATGAGGAGCAACACCTTCAGTACCAAGATTATTTTGACCTGATTCAGTTGAGAGAAAATTATCTCCGTTCCAGGGAAGATCTTGGACATGAGGAGCTCTTAGAAAATTTTGAGAAACAATGATCATGCCTTGTGGAGTGTGAAGATATTCTGAGTCATCTTGGCCCAAGTTTTGAGAGAGTAAAATGGAATAGATGAGAGAAGGATAAGGGAGATGAGTAGAGGGTGAAATTTTCTGGGCAAGATGGCCAATAGTATCAAAGAACAGTTTGCCAAAATCAACTGGTAATCCCATCCCCAATTTATACATGAGTACTGCATGAGGTTTAGTTACCACAGAGACATTTTTGGATGGAATCCAATTCATCAATGTGAGTCTAAACAGGACAGAATAAAAAGCAGTGAGTTGAGAAACTTTGAATTTTCTGGGGTGTGCAGGCCAACTTCTTAAACGGTTTCCAGAAATAACTTTGCAAATCTCAGTAAAATCACCATAATTATCCTCATCAATCACAGTAGGAGTTTGTAAATGAGAGTTGATAATTTTGGGAGAAAAAGAGAAGATGGAATTTCGCACAAAAACTTTGCCAAAGTTTGGAGAGTCCTTCTTTGAAAATGAGGTTTGCAAATTGGCATAAAATTCCTTCACGACAGTGGGATCATAGGAGCAAGCAATCTCAACTAGGCTAAGAATTTTTCTTTGATGAAGAAAAGCAGTAATCCTATGCCTATCAAATTCTTCATTGGAAATTTTCTTTTCCTCAATGAATTGACAATTCATGACTTGAGGACTCAAAATTGAATCAGATTCAAAATAGAAAGTAGGACTGAAGGCATTGTTTACCTCAAAAGGGGTTGACAAATTCTTCCCATCCAAGTCTGGTTCTTCTTCTTCTGAGGAGTCCTCATCTTCTGAATCTTCAAGCTCATCAGGGATGTATGCTGGTTCAGGTGATGCAACAGGTGGGACAACATCTTCTTCCTGCTGAGAAGAGTCTTCAGAGGATTCACTGTCTGAATCTGAGGAGGGCATATTTTTGCAGAAAGTAGCTAGAGGAACCTCCCAGCTGTCATCACTTTGCTCCGGTTCTTCAGCCTGAGGAGGAGATGCATCTGCTTGAACTGCTGCTTCTGCAAGGGTTTCCAGAGGGTCTGCATGAGGTGCTGATGGTGTTTCTTCAGTAGTGGTGAAATCCTGAGCATCAACAGTGGGAATGTCAACATGCTCTGCAGATGACATCCCAGAAAAATCAGGCATTTCTTCATCCTGATAAGGAGCAGCATCCTCAGCAGCATTCTGAGGAACATTTGCTGAGACAGTGGGTGCAGCAGCATCTACTGGAGTATGTGCAGCAACACCTTCAGTAACAGGATGTTGAGAGGCTGCTGCTGCCATGCTAGGCTGAGATGTCTCCCCATGAGTTGATGTTGGGGGAGGTGAGTCCTTTGACGATGACTCAGAGGAGCTGGAGGATAAAGCTTGAGCATCTGGTGCTGCAAAGGTAGGATCTCCTTCTTCATCATCAGTTTCTTCATCCACCAAATGAAGTCCTCTTGGTGGATTTTGCCTAACTGGAGTACGACCACCTCTGCCTCCTCTTCTTCCACATCTGCCTCCTCTTCTGGGAGAGTTTTCTCCCCTCCGGCGTTGTGGCCTAGCAGTATTCAGATCTGGGAAGGGGTTCATGCGTTTGGACCGGCGGGTTGGAAACCTTCCGGCAGTGGAAGAGGGACCCACAAACTCGAAATTGTCTGGGTCGATCGGGTTCAGCTCATCTCCGGGCTCAATGTAGCTGATTGGTACAGCTTCAAAATTGATTGGATGAACGATGATGGCCAGATTTGGGTCTGCTGGTTCAGGTGCTGCAGCATCATTGTGGACATCATCAACGGCGGCTGGAAGAGGATTTCTAGGTGGAGATGCCATGATACAGTAGATAGAGAAAGTTTGCTTCTTTGTGCTTTTGTTTTTTGATGTGAATTTTTGAGGGAAGAAGCACGAAATTTATAAGCCCTAATTTTGCTGAAGAAGGAAAAGAAAACTTGAAGTGGAGAAGGTGAAAAAGTGGTGTGCGTTTTTCTTGGAGATAGTGTTATTAAGGAGAATAAAAGTTCCTTTGGCAGTTTAAAGTAAACCGTGACACATGGCACAATTAGGAGTGGACTTAGTGGAAAATGAAAGACTAACCCATGTACCCATGACCCATATAAATAGGGATAATTCAAAAAATAAAAAATAAAAAACCGTAGCACTCATGTAATATTCACAAAAATAGAAATATATATATATATATATATATATATATATATATATATATATATATATATATATATATATATATATATATATATATATATATATATATATATATATATATATATATATATATCTATTTTATTTTTTTTATAATATATAAACTCTTATTTTCAAGTTAAACAATTCACATGGAACATGATCAAGTGTTCAGTTTGAAGGTTCCTCAGTTACTAAGATATGACTATCAAAATAGAGGAGTTTGACTTATGTGAGTGTAATTATTCCCTAAATGTTTACATGAAGCATGATCACGTTTCAAGGTGAAAGACTTCCAGTTACTGATTTAGAAAATAATCCATCACAGTGAAGTCATTATTTAATGAAGCTAAGCTTCAGTAAATTATGTTGCAGCTTAAGATATTTGATGAGGTGCTGCAACACATTTCAGGACATGTTTATTGAGTACACATCCCGAGAGATTTTTTGAGTTTAGAAAACCTCTCATAATCTAATGCCTTTGTAAAGATGTCAGCCATCTGATCTTCTGTAGGAATGTACTTTAAGCACACTATGTTTTTCTCAACTATATCACGAATAAAATGATGTTTAATATCTATGTGTTTAGTTCGTGAGTGTTGAACAAGATTTTTTGAAATGTCAATAGCACTTGAATTATCACAATATATGGTCAGGGTATTACTGGTTAATCCATAATCTCCCAACATTTGTTTCATCCAAATTAGTTGACCACAACATCCTCCAGCAGCTACATATTCTGATTCAGCTGTTGAAAGAGATACACAATTTTGCTTTATACTAAACCAAGAAACTAGATTATTCCCCAAAAAGAAACATGCACCTGAGGTGCTTTTTCTGTCACTAATATCCCCAGCCCAATCAGAATCACTAAAACGTATCAAATTTGAATTATTGTCTTTGAAGAACTGAATCCCTAAATCTACTGTACCTGCAACATACCTAATAATCCACTTCACAGCTTTAAGATGAGTGACTTTGGGATTAGCTTGATACCTGGCACACACACACACACTAAACATAATGTC